GTGCAGCCAACCCAAAGGCACACGGATCAAATCCACTAGTTGCTCTGCAGAGAAAGATGGACTTACTGCCTCTGAAAACCTGCCCTCCAGCAGTTATGAGGTGGATCCAACCCAACGGTACATAACAACAGGTACATAACAACAACGTTATCATTTTAGGAATGAAAAGAGATCGCAGGGTGAAGAGAGTCATTTCCTTATAATTTAACAACATTCACTTCTATAGGCTCCTGATTCGACTACGGCTGATTCCCTGGAAAAGCATTCCCTCAGTAGATGAAGTCCCAGGCATGAGGATGGCACTGGGCAGCACAGGGTCCAGGTCTGTTCTTGGGATGCTACGAGTCACATTTGATTTGACGGCACCCACCACCACCACCACCACCACCACCATGATATCATGTATTAGAAAGGAGGTCTCAACAACTGAGAATCAAGGAACTATATAAATATGAAATTTTTAGAAATGGAAGAAAATATCTAAGAAGCAAGATATCAAGCTGTTTTTAAAAATCATCCCTGATTAGCAACATTTCCATTTCATTAGTATCTAATAAAATAAGAAAGTTCTGAGAGTAGATGAAAGTCTACCCTTGAGTGTTTCCTCACGAGTGTTTTCAGGGTTAAGTCTGCTTATTAGGTTAGCCCCACTAGGGACTGTCATAAAATCTTGCATTGCTGAGCACAAGATGTTTTTATTACAATTGTGAATTATTTCAAGACAGTAGCAACTGTATCCCCAAACCCATTAATCTAGCCTCAACTCAACTCTGGATTTAAAAGGATCTATTTTCTTTAAAGGTCAGATCGTCTATCATTGGCCTTTTAAGTGTAATCTTAAATTTGCTAAGAAATGCTGTAGGTTGGTACTCCATCTCATATGATAATTGCTCCTCCTGGGATAACAAGAAATTCGGACAGGACACGTTCCTGTTGTGCTGGTTATAGGCTGTTCAAGGTTAGGGTGGGGGAAGCGGCTAGAGTGAAGATATATATCAAGATGATGTGAGAGATCCAGATTCTCTGGTGTTGTACGGCAACAATTAAGCAACAATTTAAAAAAAAAAAGTACATCTGAGTTTCCAATCACATTCCTGAGAGCTAACATAATATCATCCATTGCAACATCATCAAATTCTTGAGTAAGTGGGCTGACTAAAAATCCACTTAGCTATCATTTATAGACTTCAAAATTTTAACAAAAGCCACTACTTTTTTCCCTTGCTAGCCTTACAAAGACCTCTTTAATTATTGATTCCTATAAATTCCCCTTTGTCTACTCTTGGTTGGACCTTACTACAGAGGGTGTTCTGTTCCGTTTCTTGGCCAGAAGTGAAGATTTATTGCCAATAGGCTTGAAACCGACAGACACTTCTGTTTTCAGAAATGAAGTCTTTGACATTTATTTGGTCAGGTACTTGAACTGAGGAGGACCTGAGGCATTTGATGCAGAAGTGCAAGGATTGCAGCCTTCACTATAGATTGCAGCTCAATGTCAAGAAAAAAAAATATTCTCACCACTGTGCCAATTGGCAGCAACATGACAGATGGGGAAGAAACTGAGATTGTGGGCCACTTCAGCTTGCTTGGTTCCACAATCAACACTCTTGGTACCAACAGCCAGGAAATCAAAAGATGAACTGCATTGGGAAAATCTGCTATCAGGGCCCTCTCCAGAGTACTGAAGAGCAATGATGCTAGTCTAGAGAATAAGGTGTGCCTGATTCAAGCCATGGTCTTCATAATGACTTGCTAGACATCAGAGAGCAGGACAATGACTAAGGATGATAGAAGAAGAATCAATGACTTTGAGCTGCGATGCTAGAGAAGAGAATTGAACATACTGTGGACAGCTAAGAGAATGAAGAGGCTTTTCCTGGAGAGGGTAAAACCAGCAGGTTGCTCCTTGCAGGCAAGGATTTTTTTTAATACCATTTTTATTTTATACTGATTTACTTACAAAGTTTGTATACAGTGTTTTTCACACCAGATCTTTTCCATTTCCTTTAACCTCTCCCTCCACACATCAAATTGTGTGACCCTATGATTAACACCCTCCCTCCGCCCCATCCATCCTCACCTGTCTGTTCCCACCTTCCTTCCCTCCTTGGGTCCTCAGACACGTTCTATAATAATGGTCTTATACAGTATTTGTCCTTATTGGACTGAGTTCACTTAACATAATGCTCTCCAGTTTCTTCCAAGTTGGGTAGTAATTTACAAAATCATCATGGAGGCAAGGATTTTGAAGCTTCATTTCACATACTTTTGGTAGGTTGCCAGGAGGGACCAGTTCTTGGAGAAGGACATCATGCTTGGAAAGGTGGAGGGATAGCACAGGAGAGGAAGACCCTGGAGGAGATGGACTGACTCATTGACTGGAATAATGGGAGTAGGTGAATTGGAGACAAAGAAATCGGCTTAGGATAGGAGAGGAGGTTTCAAAGCTGTTGTAAATAGGGTCACACTATGTGTTGCAAGCAACTCAATGGCCCTTAACAACAACATGTAATTTTAAATACCTAAGTATAACTGTAAAATACATATTGTAATGAGGAAAAAGGATGATCTATTTTACTGAAAAGTTTGCAATGCTACACATAAAATACAATGCATGGGTATGTAGAGTTTAACTTCCCTTAAATAATGTCCAATCATATTATGTCTATGCTTTGTTTGTTTTTCTAAAGGCAAAGCATCTCTGCTTTTATGGGAAATCTCTTCCTTTGCAACTAACTGCCTCTGAAAATCCACTGGCGGGTCAGCAATGGGTTGGTTCCGACTTGATGGTACACACAACTACAATGGTTTTAAAGACCCCCAAACCAGACTCTCATAGCACTGGACCACAGGCTGGTAAGCCAGAGACCATAGCTCTGGACCCACCTCTTGAGCTCTGTCCAGAGATTGGGGTGGTTAAGAGAGTTGGGGTGAAGCCTGGTGCACTACGCTTCCCCTCTGAGTGCTTCCTCTCTCTGTGTTCCCACCTCCACTGCCATCTGCTCCTCTGGCCTATTAGGAGGCAGCAGTGAGGGGAGTGGGTTCCACTCAGGTCCCACTGGAAGTGGGCTCTCCTAAGATTTTAAAACCGTGTTTGCACAGATTCAAAATCGCATAATGTCTCACTTCACAGAATGTAAGTTGATGTTAAGAAACAAATATCAGTAGGTATAACATGAAACTTAAGAAAAGACATCATACGATACCCATTTGAATATGGATAATGTTCTACTCAATTTATGCCAAGTTTTCTTTGGGAACTAGCTGTGTATACGGCATTGTATTAGAGGCTGCGGTATGGGCCTGGGGGAGTAGCTGTAAACAAGTAGCATGGCATAGATTCTGTTTTGAGGAACTTTCATATTGGCTAGAGAGATGCAACAGCAATATATGAAAGGGTGAGAATCTGTGACAGCCCCAAATCAAGTGGTGGGTGCTAGAGTGTCAGAAAATAGAGCAGAGAGGAGAGAACAGGGGATCACTGGCAGCCCTCAGTAGAGCAAGCTGCATTATTTCTAAAACAAAACAAAACAAAACACACCAAGAGGACCAAATAATTTGGGTCCAGCATTTCATAGCTCTAGAGATGTTTCTCTTTCCTCAAGTGAGTCCTTTCATCCACCCCAGCATCCATCTATCCATCCATCCATCCATCCATGGTAACTTTAGTTTGCTCATCCTTATACACTCCTGATAGTGCTATTATCAGAGTTTCATTCATTAGGCAAGGGATGGGTGATTATTTTGTAAAAACAAAAATGTTTTAAAGATTTTCCAAAGATAAGTGTTAAATACCACACATAAAACATATCCATTAAAGTCTATCAAACAGACCAAGGAGCCTATATACACACAAAGCGTCTCTGCTCTGCTCTTGTTACTACAAAGAAGAGCTGCAACTACAATAAAGTCACTGTATCTGTCAGGACGGTTTTCTGAGGTGCAGAGTGAAAGGATGAGATTAGAGCAGTAGAGTGAGAAGTGTCCTCTGCGAAGCTCCTAGAAGGGCTGCGAGAAGGTGCAGGTACTGCCAGGCCATTCAGTCAACCTGTCCCCGCCCCATTTAATCAGCACCCATCTGTTTTAAACTTATTTTTTCACTGACTTGACATAGCACCAAGTTTCATTTATGCAAAAGGATCTTAAAAACTTTCAGAACCACCAGATCTTTCCAAACTTCGTGACAGCTGGCTAATTTTCTGGATCGAGTAAATTGGAAGACAGCGGTAGCAAGCCATCATTAACTTGATTATTCTACTGTATAGAAGAGGAATGTCAATTAGAACACGGGAATTGCTCATAAGAAGAAAAATCCTTCCGGCAAGTTGGTTCTAATTATAGAATGACTCTAATTAGAGAATGTTGCTAATTAGGTGTGAATTCATGGTTATAAACAAAAATCTTTGTACACTCCCCACCCCCCCCACCCCTTTGTGGGTAGGGAGTTGAGGAGAAATGTAATTTCTTTGCCAACTGGAAGTCTCCCAGATTTAAATTTCTTGTTAAATATATAAAAGATGTATTATTTAAAGCAGTGTGCTACTTAAATAAATATAGATGGTAAAAGGATAAACTTCAAGTTAACAATAGCAAAAGCCTACTTTCAAAATACTCAAATCTAAATTGAAAATGAGACTTACAGATCTTTCCCAGGTACAATCAGTATCTCCCTCACTGGTATGGATTTTTATGGAATTACATACATGAGTTTACCAATTTGATTCTAATTAACAAATTATGCCACAAACCCTCATATAATTAAAATTTTACTCTTTTAATTTTAATCTAGAAAGTAGACTCTCCTAATTCCTAGAGCATCCACCTTATAATACAGCACAGGCGTTCCAAAAAGACGTTTGAACATAAGTGTCTTTGTTCATTCAAGCAGGTCATTCCATTCATCCACCCACAAAACTTATTCCTAGAAAATAGCTAAGAATACTTTGAAAATCTCCCCCCCCCCCCCCGTAACAATAACACACTTCACTTTATCTACTTACTGGGACAGAGTTTCCATTCGGGCCTCTTGATCTGACCATTCTCCCCAGAACTTCCATTCCATCCACTGTGATATTGGCCGATGCATTTATGGCCTTCTCAGCTACTTGTTTGCAGTCAATAACCACTTTGGCGAGAGTCTTGCTGACAACAATGTGCAGCTGAATAGAGAGAAGGTTATTTTAGGAGCTGAAAAGCAGGAGGAAGCATCAACCAGATTTAGGTAATTGCCTGGCTTACCACTAAAAAGAATGAGACAAGGAATCATCTCACTACATATTTTTGCCCAAAAAGAAGTTTTCCATTTCTACTAACCTTGTTATTTTCCTCCTTTCAAGAACTATCTTGACTTTTATGTACTTAATATTATAAAAGAGCTTTAAATTATTCACTTAATAAACTATCTTTAAATTATTCACTTTTTTTTTTGCTGACTTTAAAATGTTTATTCTTTAAAAAAGTAGTTGCTTTTTACACAGCTATACAAAGTCCTTCATGTTTCTTTGGCAATGGAATATAATGGAATTTTACAACTATATTAAAAAAGTTACCTTTGCCTAAGAAACAGTATTTACTGTGTGTACATAGTTGACTGACAAAATTCTCTATCATCCAGCACCCTAATTAATTGAGCTATCTCAAAAGGGATATTATGGGATTTCCAAAAGAGAAAAAAGAAAGACACATACATACACTTTCTCAAAACACAGTATCAC